GGTTAACAAGAAACATTAGACAACAATGTCCCAACATGATTGTCCTGTTTTGGATGCGTTTTACCAAGAATGAACTTTTAATAGCCATACTGCTCTCTAAATCATTTGAAGTTGTTTAACAAACTCTAAGTAATCAGATTTTTTTTTTTCATTTACTGACTTACTCCTTTAAGTATAAACATGTATTTTTACAGCCAAAATTTACCACATTGCACAAGACTTAACTAATGGTTACCCTCCAGAGTATTTAACCCAAAGTAACACATCTTATGCCCAAATTTAGTAATGCATACTGGGGTTTCTTTTGTTGTTGGTATAAGGCAATATGCTAACCAGCAAGTTCCACTCGTCAACTTGTATCGTGCAGTTAGATAATTCACAAGGGTAAAGGCAGTTTCCAACTGTGAATTCTGCAGTACATGTTGCAGGCACTTCTTATTGAAGAACAGCAGTAGGTAAGGGGTGCAAGACAGACTCCATCATTCCTTCTAATTAATTTTCAACAAGTATATTGGTTCCACTTTAAAAACCCCAGCAACTTGTTTATCAGCAGAAAGCAAAAATGTTGTTACTATTACTTATCCGCAATAACTTCCAGTTGCATTAAACTGAAGTTCAGTAAATGAAACTGTCAGGTATAAGTGTTTTTCATGATTTATAATTCACTGCTTTGAATCTAAGCTCTTAATTAAAAATTACTTTTGTACAGATATTCTGTCGTTATAGCTCATAAATCTGTTAGAATGATTTGAATTAAGGGAAAAATAATTCATCCTTCACACATCTTTGCTGCTGCCATTTAACTTGGTTAAAGTTAAAGGCACATTTTACCAATCACCAATCTTTAGCGCTGGAGTCCACAAATCATTTTTATTCTTTTTGCTTTGGAACGTTTCTGCTTGTGATGCATTCTGCTAGCTTTTAATTTTTTTTCTACTTGGTGACTCCTATTAATATCTCTGTAAATAGGTAGTTCCTTCAGATTAGAATGTATCAGTGCTATAAGGATCAATCTCTACGAATAACCAAGTTAGAGGCCCAGACCTACCAAACAGACTCCCACCATCTATGGCAAGGCCTAAACGACATTACAGGATACAAAATGAAACAGTGTAAGAAAGCGGACAATGACACATCCCTTCCTGACCCTTTCAATGCTCATTTCGAGCAGAATACCACTGGCATGGTGATGCCTGCACCAACAGCCCCAGAAATACCTGTTTCCTCTGTCACTACTTCAGAAGTCAGTTCATTCTTCTTGGGAGTCAACCCAAGGAAAGCAATGGGCACAGACGATGTCACTAGCCGAGCACTCCGATCCTGTGTGGACCAACTGGTGGAGGTATTCACTGACACCTTCAACCTCTTCGCTCCTACAAGCTGAAGTCCCCACCTGCTTCAAGAAGACCACCATCATCCCTGTACCCAAGAAAACACGTGCCGTGTGCCTTAATGACTACCGCCCAATAGCTCTAACTTCAATAATCATGAAGTGCTTCGAGAGGCTGGTCATGGCCCACATTAACTCCAGTCTCCCAACCTGTCTCAATCCCCTACAGTTTGCCTACCGACATAACAGGTTGACAGAGGATGCCATATCCTTAGCCCTGCACTCATCCCTGTAACATCTGGACAACAAAGACACCCATGTCAGACTCTTGCTCATTGACTACAGCTCTGCCTTCAACACCGTTAACCCCTCCAGACTGATCTCAAAACTGCGTGAACTTAGTCTCGGATCTGCCGTTTGCAACTGGATCCTCCACTTTCTAATCCATAGGCCGCAATCAGTGAAAATAGACAACTGGACCTCTTCCACAATAACACTCAACTGGAGCCCCCAAAGGATACATCCTCAGTCCCCTACTGTACTCCCTGTACTCCTACCACTGTTGTCAAATTCTGAACGAATGTCATCTACAAGTTCGCTGATGACACCACCGTTCTGGTACAGATATTAACAACAATGAGGCATAACATAGAAGGGAGGTAGAGGGCTTGGTGATGTGGTGCAGTGAAAGCAATCTGTCCCTCGACGTCGGCAAAACTGAAGAACTGATCATCGACTTCAGAAAGAAAAAGAGGAGAACGCACCCCCGTCTAAATCAACGGAACGGAGGTTGAGAGAGCGAAGAGCATCAAATTCCTCAGAGTGACGATAACCGACGACCTGTCCTGGACTTCCCACGCAAATGCAACAGTCAGGAAAGCACAACAACACCTCTTCCTCAGGTGGCTCAAGAAATTTGACATGTCCATAAGTCCCTCACCAACTTCTACAGAAGCACCATTGAAGCATAGTATCTGGGTGCATAATGGCCTGGTATGGCAATTGCCCTGCCCAGGACCATAAGAAACTACAGAAAGTGGTGTGCACAGCCCAGACCATCACAGAAGCCAACCTTCCATCCATGGGCTCTATTTACATGCTCACTGTCGTGGAAAGGTGGCCAACATCATCAAAGACCCATCGCACCCTTGAAGTAACCCCCTACAATCTCTTCCATCAGGCAGAAGATACAGAAGCTTGAACACACACACAAGCAGGCTCAGGAACAGCTTCTTTCTGGCTGTTATCAGATTGTTGAATGGACCCTAGCCTCCAATGTAACCTGTATGCCTCTAAGTCTTTTCGATCTGTACATCCTTTGCTCACTGTGATCTGCCTGTACCGCTCGTAAACAAAGCTTTTCACTGTATTTCAGTATAAATGACAATAAATCAATCAATCAATCAAATTTGTGACTAGTCACTGCTTGGAAATGTTGTACCATATATTTATTTCTAAAATATTGTTTAGTATTTAACAAAAGTTAAAGGTTAACCATACCACAATATGAAGAAAAATGAATGGTGATATTTGATACATTTATGAGGAGAGGTTCTTGTTAAAACTAACATGAAAGAAGTCTTGGATAGACTTGGTACTTAAAGTTTTCAAGGCACTAGCTCAGGATGAGATGCATCCAAGGACTTTGAGAAAGTTGAAGGTAGGAATTGTGCGGTCACTGGACTCGGGGACATGTTGGAACACTGGAGAATTAGAAACATTACAGCCTGTTTAAGAAAAGTCATAAGGGTAAACCAGGCAATTTACTAGCTCATCTGTTTAACTTCAGCAGTGGCAATACATGTAGAAACAATTATTTGGCATAGAATTAGTATTCACGTGGAAAAGGTGGGTTGATTAGTGTTACGGAGGGGGAATGGCTGAACCCCTCTGATAATTTAACCAAAACACAGCCCCAATCTGTTATGATGGGAGTAAAGGTTCCCTTCTAATAATTACCCCCGAAACACCCAGAGAAGCTCGCTTCGTAATCTGTTAAGAGCAGTTAAAAGAAACAAAAATTCCTGATCTCTGCTTTACAAGTATCAAGTAACAATTTATTTATTCAACCCTAACAATGAACAAATTGGCAGAATTACAAACAAACCGAACAATTCCCCCTTAGGCTACTAACTACTCCCTAACTGAACTAAATTCTACTGGAATGCTGTTCAAATAAACACACGTCCCACTTACATAAACCCATTAACAGTAAATTAAAACTTAATCTCTCCAAATTGACACCGACTCTCTTCTAGAACACTCTCCAATGTTTCTCCAGCCTTTATTCTGTTGATCTCATGTCACAAATGTCTTACTGCCGTTGATTCTGCTGTCAGGGATTTTTTTTTCTGTGTAATTGCTTCCGTGAGGACTTTTAGCTAGAAATTAGATGGTGCTTTCTCTGAGAGCAAAAGAATGTGTTGTCTTTTGGCAGTTGGCTCTCCCCAATCTTCAAAAGATCTTTCTATATTCCCTATGACAGATCAAATTCTTATAATTCGTTTCAGGTTGTCAGCACCATCAGATTTAAATTTGATAAGCTTCTAGCATCTAAGGACTTGGTTAACATTGATTGGCTAAATTTGAAAAGACTTGCTGTCTTGGTAAAAACGCTGCTTGGCTGTTCGATACAAAATGTTTCCTTTCGGGCACTCTGTGTGCACCTGCAGTTCAAACTGCTAGTCAGACATCCAAATTAATTCGGAGCCCTGAAAAGAACACCATCTTTTAAAGGGACAACACACTGTTTTTCCATACTATTATATTTACCAACAAGTTCTAACTTCCTGCCTTCCAGTTCATGAACACTGCATCCAACTTTGCAACAATTAGGAAGAGTCAGCATGGATTTCTTCAGTGGAAATAGTGCTAAATTAACTTGCTGAAGTTTTATGAAGAGCTAACAGGCTCCGGTGTGGCACGAGCAAACCTCACTGCAAGGATATAGGTGCCCCTCCAGTTCAGGTGCAATCCGTGTCCTTGGCTTTATTAATAGGGACATAGAGTACAAGAGCAAGGAGGTGATGTTGAACTTGTATAAGACACTTGTTAGACCTCATCTGGAGTATCGTGTACAGTTATGGGCATCGCGTTGTAGGAAAGATGTGAATGCTTTGTTCAGTGTGGGGAAGCAATTTACACAAATTGTTCCTGGAATGAGAAGCTTCAGTTACTAGAATAGTTTGACAAAGTTGGAACTGTTCTCCTTTGAGAGAAAAAGGCCAGAGGAGATTTGATAGAGGTTTTTGAAATCATGAGTGGGCTGGATAAAATACAAAGAGGCTGTTCCAGGTCATAAATGAAACAAGAACGAGAAAGCATAGATTTAAAGTGATGTGCAAACAAAGCAAGGATGATGTGAGAAAAGCTTTTTTCACGCAGTGAATAGTTAGGATATGGAAAGCACAACTCAGATATGATAGAAAGGGGTTCGATTGAAGAATTCGAGAAGGCATTGGATAATTATTTGGATAGAAATTTTGTGCAAGGGTATGGGGGAAACATGAGATTGACACTAGGTAATGATACTCATTTGAAGATCCTGTGCAGGTATGATGGGCCAAATGGCTGCCTCCTGCACCATAATGATGCTTTGATTCTGTGATATCACATTCACACACTTAAAATCAGCCTGACTAATTATTTTTCACAACATATTATCTTGCAGAATAATGGCAGTACCTGCAACAGTTATTTACTTCACTTGTTACGATCAGTTACGGGCTTTTTTGAAATACAAGCTAGGATATGATGGCGCTTATATTCCATTGTTAGCTGGAGCTTCAGCCAGAGGTATGTTTTTTTTTATTGACTGTGAGTCCTACTGAACTGTTTTTTAGTCTTTATCATTATTCTACCTTAGAGAAAAGGAAATGAATGGCATAGGTCTGATTTGAGCATTGATTTCAGTATTCCATGTTACACAGTAAATCAGCTGATAATTGGACTATGCCAGCTGGATGGAGTAACATTATACATTTTCATTCCAAGTCTGATATTTGATTGAGTGCTTAATGAATAGCTGAAACATCCATGTGCCAGACATTTCCTTGTCCAGAAGTGCATGTTTTGTATTACATTTTTCTCAATAAGAAAGTCATGAAGTAGAATTCTACTCCATGCTCAGTTATTATGTCATTCATAACAAATTTTTGACTGAGACCTGAATGTGGAGTCAGGTTTTGTTATTCAGGAAACAGAGCAGAATGAGAGAGACTGTGGAAGTAGGCTGTCAATTATATGGAGGTATGAAATTAAAATAAAGGGCTGGAGAAACTCATGAGATGTGAAAGCAACTGTGGAAAGAAGAACGGAATTAACTTTTTAAGCCCAGTGTCTTTCAATCTCACCATGTCAGGTGGTGAAATTAAAATTCAGTAACAAAAATCTGGAATCAAAACCTTCTGTAATGTTGACCATGTAACCATTGTCAATTGTCATTGAAAACTCATCTGGTTCACTAAGCCCTATAGGGAAGGAAATTTGTCTTCCTTACCTGCTTTGGTCCACATAAGACTCCAGACCCAAAGCAATGTGGTTGACCTCTTAACTGTCCTCTGAAGTGGCATAGCTAGCCACTCAACCCAAAGAATTAAACAAGATGGACCACGAAAATTGATCAAGACACCAGAAACAACAATGGCAAACCCAACCCAATAAATTCACCTTTAACAGCAGCTATGGGCTTCTGCCAAAAATGGAAGTGTTGTCCCACTAACCTTGTGAGCCTCTTCCTTGACTAATCTTACTCACGGAATCGTAGTTTAGAGACAATATCCCAGATGCCACTGTCACTATGCCATTAGCAGGTCTGTTCCACCTGAGGTAATGATACAGTGGCTTGTAGTCAGGATGGAGTTGCCCAGGGAGTTCTCAACACTGACTGTAGACTCCATGGTATCTCAGGGCATCAGGTCAAAAATATAGAGAAAATAACTCTCCAGCTGATTGCCTCCTATCCATCCCCACTCCCTCTGACTGATTAACTAGTATTTCTCCAACTCCACTTTGAAGAAGCAGTGAGGATGGTAAGGCTGCACAGTGTACTCTGGGTGGGTACTTCAATGTCCGTCACCAAGTGGCTTGATAGTACTATTTTATGTCTATCTGAGTCCTAAAGGCCATAGCTGATTGGTCAGTGGCAGATAGTGAAGGAACTAACGAGAGGAAAATTTACTGTACTTCATCCTTACCCATCTATCTCTTGCAAATATGTCCATCCATGACAGAACAGTCAGAGGTTCTTTTATCTACAATTTAGCTCCTAACTGTTCAAAATCTTTCAACAGAACCTCCTTTCTATTCCTATCAATATTATTGGTTTCCTTCACACCCCTGAAGAAATGTTTTTAACCCTGACACTGGGGAGACAACACAGCTTTTGGGACTTGAGTTACCAGCTCTAGAGAACCCTATCTATCCATCTATTATACTGCCCCCATTGCTGCTGTATTCTTATTTCCTTCCTGCACTTGAATGCCTTCCTGTACCACAGTAGCATGGTCAGTTTACTGTCCCCACTCTTCTCCACACTGCTTAAAGAACCTTGTAACTGTTAGACAGTTACAGGGGCTGAGGCTCTTCCACTGCTCCCCCAGGAATGCATGACCAGTCTCACCTATGGCCACAGCTTCGATCTCGGACCACATTTGAATTACATAACCTAAGGAGTATAAGCATCACCTGGATCAGTGTGCAGGTAAAGTTCCCTCCCTAATATGGCACGATGTCTGCAGCTCACACAACTTCCTGTACTGTGTTCCATCTGTTGGCCCACTGATGGTTAGTTAGAATTTAGCCTGTAGTAATTAGACTATTATGGGCTGCAAGTATATATTGTACTTATAGAGAGCTTTAAATTAGTTGTGCGGGGGAGGGGGTGGGGGTTGTGCTTGAGAGGCTTACAAAGCAAAAGGATATGGCAGCAATGCAAACTAGCAATTTTGACAATAAAAACTTGAGTTGGAAAGAAACTGGTAGGGTAAACAAGCAAAAGAAAACAGCAGCAAATAGGGTCAAAGGAGAATAGGCAAAATTTAATGTCTCTATTTAAATGCACATAGTTTTCAGAACAATATAAATGAGTTAATGGCACAGAGGTTAATGGGTATGATCTTGCAGCTCTTACAGAGACATGGTTACAAGGAAATTGAAGCTGGAAACTAAGTATTTCAATACTGTATGACTTTCTGAAAGGACAGATAGGAACTGAAGGGTAGTGATGTTGCTTTGTTAGTGACGATAGCAAGAAGTAATCTGGGATAGGAAAATGTAGCATCTATTTGGGTGAAAGTGAAAAACAACAGAGGAAGAAGACACCAATGGAAATAGACTATAGGTCCCTAACAGTATGTAAGATAACACGGTGTAGAGCTGGATGAACACAGCAGGCCGAGCAGGAAAGCTGAAGTTTCGGGTCGAGACCCTTCTTCAGAAATGGGGGAGCGGAAGAGAATTCCGAAATAGATGGGGAGAGAGGGTGAGGCAGATAGAAGTTGTATAAAGGAGAAGATAGGTGGAGAGGAGACAGACAGGTCAAAGAGGCGGGGATGGAGCCAGTAAAGGTGAGTGTAGGTGGGGAGTTAGGGAGGCGGTAGGTTGGTCCAGGGAGGACGGACAGGTCAACGAGGCGGGATGAGGTTAGTGGGTCGGAGATGGAGGTGGGCCTTGAGGTGGGAGGAATGGTTAGGGAGGCGGGGACGAGCTGGGCTGGTTTTGGGATGCGGTCGGTGGAGGGGAGATTTTGAAGCTTGTGAAGTCCACATTGATACCCTTGGGTTGCAGGGTTCCCAAGTGAAATATGAGATGCTATTCCTGCAGCCTTCAGGTGGCATCATTGTGGCAATGCAGGAGGCCCAGGATGGACATGTCGTCCAAGGAGTGGGAGGGGTAGTTGAAATGGTTCACGACTGAGAGGTGTAGTTGTTTGTTGCGAACCGAGCGTAGGTGTTCCACAAAGCGGTCCCCAAGCCTCCGTTTGGTTTCCCCGATGTAGAGGAGGCCACAGCGGATACAGTATACCACGTTAGCAGATGGGCAGGTGAACATCTGTTTGATGTGCAAGGTCTTCTTAGGGCCTGGGATGGGGATGAGGTGTAGGGGCAGGTGTAGCACTTCCTGCGGTTGCAGGGAAAAGTGCCGGGGGTGGTGGGGCTGGTGGGGGGTATGGAGCGGACAAGGAAGGCACGGAGAGAGTGGTCCCTCCGGAAAGCAGATAAGGGTCGGGAGGGAAAAATGTCTTTGGTAGTGGGGTCAGATTGCAGATGGTGGAAGTGTCGGAGGATGATACGTTGGATTCGGAGGTTGGTGGGGTGGTATGTGAGGACAAGGGGGATTCTGTTTTGGTTGTTATTGCGGGTAGTGGGTGTGAGGGATGAGTTGCGGGAAATGCGAGAGACACGGCCGAGGGCGTTTTCGACCACTGTGGAGGGGAAGTTGCAGTCCTTGAAAAACGAGGACATCTGGGATGTCCAGGAGTGGAATGCCTCATCTCGGGAGCAGATACGGCAGAGGCGAAGGAATTGGGAATAGGAGATGGCTTTTTTGTAGGAAAGTGGGTGAGAGGAGGTGTATTCTAGGTAGCTGTGGGAGTCGGTGGGCTTGAAATGGATATCGGTTTCCAGGTGGATGCCAGAGATGGAGACAGAGAGGTCCAGGAAGGAGAGAGAGGTATCAGAGATGGTCCAGGTGAACTTAAGGTTGGGGTGGAAGGTGTTAGTGAAGTGGATGAACTGTTCGAGCTCCTCGTGGGAGCACGAGGCGGCGCTGATACAGTCATCGATGTAACAGAGGAAGAGGTGGGGTTTAGGGCCGGTGTAGCTGCGGAAGAGGGATTGTTCCACGTATCCTACAAAGAGGCAGGCATAGCTTGGGCCCATGCGGGTACCCACGGCCAACCCCTTCATCTGTAAGAAGTGGGAGGAATTGAAGGAGAAGTTGTTAAGGGTGAGGACGAGTTTAGCTAAGCGGATGAGGGTGTCAGTGGAGGGGGACTGGTCGGGCTCTCGGGACAGGAAGAAGCAGAGGGCCTTTTAGGCCATCTGCATGGGGAATGCAAGTGTACAGGAACTGGACGTCCATGGTAAAGATGAGATGTTGGAGACGAGGGAATCGGAAGTTTTGGAGGAGGTGGAGGTCATGGACGTAGATGGGGGTTCCTGGACCAAGGGGGAGAAAATGGAGTCGAGATAAGTGGAGATGAGTTCGGTGGGGCAGGAGCAGGCGGAGACAATGGGTCGACCAGGGCAGTCAGGTTTGTGGATTTTGGGAAGGAGATAGAAACGGGTGGTGCGGGGTTGGGGAACGATGAGGTTAGAGAATGTGGGTGGGAGGTCACCTGAAGTGATGAGGTTGTGGATGGTCTGGGAGATGATGGTTTGGTGGTTGGGGGTGGGATCATGATCAAAGGGGCGGTAGGAGGAGGTTTGAGAGAGTTGGCATCTGGCCTCGGCGATGTAGAGGTCAGTGCGCCATACTACAACTGCACCTCCCTTGTCCGCGGGTTTTATGGTGAGGTTAGGGTTGGAACGGAGGGAGCAGAGGGCTGCACGTTCTGTGGGGGAGAGGTTGGAGTGAATGAGAGGGGCGGAGAGGTTGAGGCGATTGATGTCTTGACAGCAGTTGGAGATGAAGAGGTCGAGGGAGGGTAGGAGGCCTTGGGGTGGTGTCCAGGAGGAGGGGGTGTGTTGGAAGCGGGAGAAGGGGTCAGTAGAGGGAGGGTTAGGCTCACGATTAAAGAAGTAAATGCGGAGGCGGCGGAAAAACTGTTCAACGTCCAAACGTGAGTTGTATTC